AGAAAATAGAGGAGTTGGCTCGACTGAACCCCCAGGTGAGTGACAACAGGACCTAGGATGAATGAGGCAAGAATGTGCTGGGGGTCTTGACCTGCTTTCTCAGCCCACGAGAGCAGGTTTTAGGATCTGATCTCAGTCCTGTGGACAATGCTGCAGCAGTGGTGTGTCGCTCCCAAAAACCAGTGTCTTGGGAATGTTGGCAGTGTTTTATCAGGCTGTCCCTCTGTAGCACTGACCTCTAAGTACTGCCCTATAGAGAGCATATACATGTTTATGGACCACACTGTGAACTGCAGCTGCACATGCAGCGTGCTGGGAGTCAGAGGGCACAGGGGAGGAGAGGATACTCCTCCCTGCCTGTGTCCCTACTGCTGCGTTTCTGGGGGCCAGCAGAGAAGGCAGCTGGAAGAAATGAGCCATGCCGTGTTAGCATGCTGGGGGACAAGGTGTAGTGTTGGAGGGAGTGCTGACTCTCCAGCTGTCTGTGTTGTCTGCAGTACCCCATGTATTATGCACCTCTACCCTTGCCTTCTGTGTGCTGTATGGAAACGGAGACCCCGACTGCAGAGGACATACAGCTGCTGAAGAAAACCGTCGAGACGGAGGCTGTGCAGGTGCGTACGTGACTCGAGTCCTTTCACAGTTGCTCCCAGTCCAGCCAGGACATCAGCATGGCCAGAACTGGCTCTTTCCAAATGTTCTGAAGGTAAATGCCGCTACTCTCACTCCTCATCCTTAAGAGATCAACCTGTAGTTTAAAGAGTGGAGTTTATCTAACCTTCTCACACTGGAAAAAGTGCCAGTGGGACTTCCTTGTGTCCTTTTGGTCTGTGTTTGGCTCTCAGCCTGTTCTGAAGCATAACCTAGAGCAGTTGGAGTCAGAGGCTGAAGGCATGAAGGGGTTTGCTACTGATTCCTGACTCCTTTGATTTGTTTGTAGATGCTGAAAGACATTAAGAAGGACAAAGTTTTGCTGCGCCGGAAGTCTGAGCTTCCGCAGGACGTCTACACTATAAAAGCCTTGGAGGCCCACAAGAGAGCAGAAGAGTTTCTCACCTCAAGCCAGGAGGCTCTCTGACGGGCTCAGGAGCTGGCCCAGGAAGCTCTGCCCCATCCCTTTCCTCCAGGGGTCATGGAAATGCACTTGGTTCTCATGTATAAGTAAGGAATGAACATGGTGAGCTGTGCCTGTCCTCCACTCCATCTGCATACCTCCAGGGTAGATCTGGTTTTATGTTATAACTTGTATCTCACCACTGTCCTGTCCTCCTGCTTTTTCTCCGTCCTCCTGCTTTCCCACCTTGGCTCTGCAGGCATTAGGGGAGCCTGCCTGGCCTCTGCTCTTATCAGTCCAGGCAGAACTCACTTCACTGTGAGCTGCCACCTGATTCTTACTCTGCCAGGAAGCCAGAGCCTTGCTCAGGCTCTGTATTGTGCAGAGCCTGCCGTGCGTGGCTCGGTGTGCTGCTCCAAACTCCAAGTGCCCATCTCCGCCACACCTGCCCTGTGCTGCCTGTGCAGCTGAGCCCTGCCATGGTCAGAGGCCAGGCTGAGCTTGGGGCAGAAGCAGAGTTTGTGAAGGCTCTGCTGCCTCTCCAGCCTGCCTTGGGGTGCAGCTCCACAGCTGAAGGGTCTTAATGTACAGCGGAGGAAATGTTTACTTCCACCTTTCTTTTGCTACAAGCCCCTTGTTTTGTTCCCCTGTCAGTGGAGTGGGGGTTCAGTGCTTTGCCACCCCCAGTTAAGCTGGGTGCAAGCACTACATACTATTGCAGTCCTCCCTTTAGAGCATCCTTAGAAGCTCTCTTGTGAGAAAGTGAATTCCTTCTGCTGTTTGTGTTGGTCCGTGCTGACTCATTTCCTTCCCGATGTCTCGGGTTAATTGTGGGCCCAGAATTAACTTCCCGCTTTGTAGCAGGTGTCAGCCACTGACTTCTACTTTCTTCCTCTACCTGCTCAATTAAAATACTCCTGCAGCTCTCCCTTTGTCTCTGTATCCCATCCTTAGCTCTTCAGGGCCAGGGTTTCTAGGAAGCTTGTGCTGCTAGTCGTTTCCGCAAGCTCGTGGAAGCAATGGCTGCACCTCACGGGGTGTGGCTGAGTTTGAGTGTTCAGTTGTCTCCTCATTATTATCAATGGCTAAGCACTACTGCTGAATCGCTTCTGTGGGTGCTCTGAGCAAAGTTCACCTGTCCTGTTACGTGTGCACCTGCTGTGGCCCTTGTCAGTTATCACTTGGTGCATCAGGGGCTCGTGCTACCTTAGCATTTAGAATCACTTGCTGACAGCCCAGGGGCTTGCGCAGCACTTGGGCGCTACTGTGGTCCAGCTTTCACCCCTGTTGTTTGTGGTGCAGATTTAGTGCCAGGCCAAGGTGCCACCTCAGAGGCTGGTTTGTCATAGAGAGGGAGTCCTTGCTTCTTAGCTGCTGTGCCTGCTTTCTTGACACATAAGCTTAAGTGGGTTTGCAGTAGTGCAGGGAGCCCGCGGGGTTGGTGCTAGCCTGGCACTGCTTTGCAGCAGCACGGGATGTTGTAGAAGGTTCTGGTGTATCTGCTTGTCCTCACCAGTAAACCATTTCCAGGTCAGAGGATCACCCCCTCTAGTCTTTCTGCTGGTGTGCAGCACATCTTTCCTCCAACCCCAGCGAGGCTGTTTTGACCTGTGCATCCTGCATCCGTGCCCCGTGTAGCTCTCTCCCGACTCAGCCCTTATCAGGAATGCCACCATCTCTTGGGAGGAGCTGGCGGGTGCAAGTGCGAGATCCCCCAGTCACGCAGGGCCCCGCCTCCCCTCCGCCTCACACCACGGGCCAGTTCGTCAGGAGACTTCAGAAACACCTCAGGGAGGTTATTGCTTATTTTGAACATTAGTCTGAGCTCATGATCAGCTGCCAATCAATTACCTCACGCCTGGCACAGCATGTGGGCACGCAGCGGGCGGTGCCAGAGCAGCACGGCGGAAATGAGGGCTGCCAGGCTCAGGCTGGGCAGGAGGCTCCTTCCTCTTTCAGCCCCGCCTCTCCAACTGGCTGCTTAGCGTTGTGCTGTAAGCCAGGACCTCAGTTTTAGATTGCTACAGCATGGTATGCCCTCACTTGAGCCTGCTTGCTGCTGGGCAGTGGCTGCCTTTCCCCGCTGTGGGCTGCTCTGCCTGCAGAGGGAACAGAATCTTGTGGTGTGCAGGGCTGGCACTGTCCTGCAGATGATCTGTCTCTGCTGGCAGCCCCTGACCCTGGCCAGAGGAATGCTGCTGGGGTTGTGCCATGTGCAGGGGCAGGATTGTAACACATCATGATTATGTGCTGTACAGCTTTGATGTTCCCATAGCTTTTTGTGTCTTGTTTTGGGTCAGGGAACTTAGGCTTAGTACCTTCACACCATCCTTTGTTTGCTGCCTATTCATTCCAGTGTCCTGGACACCTCAGAAGGGGACCATGTGAGACAGGGGGGAGTGTGCTCACCCTCTCACCACATGTGCTGCTCATGGGCAGACCTGCATCTGCCACGCTACAGCTGCCCCTTGCTCAATACTTGGTTTCTAGCATTAGTGCTGCTCATTTCTGCCTATGCCTTTCCCCACATCAGCCAAATGGACAGAACTGGAGCTGCCTCTTCCACTCCACCTGGCTTGCTCCTCCCAAGGGAAAAAGCAAAACTACTGCATTCACACCCTGGACACAAGTATTAAGCTGCTTACAGTTCATATGTACATATGGTGTACTTTATTTTCAGTAGAGCATTACATAGTATGAAAGTGTTGGATTTTGTACAGATGTCCCTGTATGTACAGAACTAAATAAAACCAATCTCTTGGAATGACACATCTTGCTCCACCTGTGATATTCCAACGCACAGACCCTATCCTGAGAGGAGGGGCCCTAGCCTGGAGAGTGACTTCTCTGGTACTGTCAGCATGGGGCCACGTCCAGTGTTTGTCCTGAGGGAATCTGGGCAAAGCCAGCCAAGCCCCATCGCCCCATACACATCCAGGCACGGAAACCAATCTGCTTCCTCAGAGGCAGAGGAAGCTAACACAAGGTCATCACACTGACTTACACACCAGCCAGAACCCAGAAAAAGGAGTGGGAAGGAAAATCAGACAATGTCAGTGGGACAGACTGGGAGGTTGATACTGGCAAGTCCTGTCAGCACCTGGCTCGGAGGCACTGGGTGCTTCCAGGCTAGAGGGAGGGAGGGCTGGGGTTTGCAGCCCCTGTGCCGCACTCAGCCCTCAATTCCACTGAGGCCGGGGGCCGCCGAGGCTCTGCCGGGCCTGCAGCGTGCGCTGCACCACGTCCTTCCACTGCTCCTCCGAGATCTGGTTGGCCCAGGCAGGGATGCCCAGGGTGGGCAGCTTCACGCTGGCCATCGTCCTCTTCACCAGCTCCACATGCTCTGCGAACAGACAGGCCGTGAGAGCGCGGCGGAGCGCCGGGAGGATCCCGCCGGAGACGCGGTTACCTGCATCCATGGGGATGGAGCTGCGGCTGCTCTGAGCCGTGGCGCCCTCCGCTGCCTCCTCCTCGTTCTCCTCCTCGCTGTCCACCGGCGGGTCGGGCAGGTGCAGCCTCAGCATCTGCGGAGAAAGGCGGGCAGCGGGGGTCGGCACGGCGGGTGCCCCGGGCCGCGGCCCGGCGGGCGGCGCTGGGCGGTACCTGCAGCCGCTCCTGCAGGCCGGGGCCCGCGTCGCCGTGGCCCTGCTCCGGTTCCTGGCTCAGCGGCTGATACAAGTACCCGCCGCCCTCCTCCTCTTCCTCCTCCTCCTCCTCATCGCCGCTCCACTCCGCCGCGCCGTCAGGGCCCTCCGGCGGCCCGGGCTCCCGGGGACAGACGCGCTCGGGGCCCATGCTCGGCACCACCGCCATACACCGGGCGCGGCGCCGAGGAGGTGCCGCCGCCGCCGCCCGGAACCGCCGCGGCCGCCGCGGGGCACTCTGGGTGTTGTAGTCCCGAAGCGGGCCCCGGGCGCGGCGGGCGGTGCNCGGCAGGCGGGTGGGGGCGCGGGGCGGCACGGAGGGGCTCGGGCGGGGAGGGGCGGCAACGGCGCTGGAGCGTGTCCAGAGTGGGGCAAGGGAGCTGCTGAAGGGCCCAGAGAGTAAGTCCTGTGAGGAGCGGCTGAGGGTGTTCAGCCTGGAGAGAAGGAGGCTCAGGGGAGACCCTGTCACTCTCCACAACTGCCTGAAAGGAGGTTGTGGCCAGGTGGGGGCCGGCCTCTTCTCCCAGGTAACAACTGGCAGGCAGGTCAAGAGGAAACAGCTTCAAGCTGCACCAGGGAAGGCTTAGATTGGATATTAGGGAAAAATCCTTCACGAAAAGGGTAGTCTGGTGTTGGAACAGGCTGCCCAGGGGAATGGTCGAATCACCATTAAAAAAATTAGTAAATGTGGCACTTTCAGGGCATGGGTTAGTGGTGGGCCTGGCAGTGTCGGGTTAATGGCTGGGCTCTGTCATCTTGGTGGTCTTCTCCATCACTGAAGGATTCTGTGACCCCACACATCCCTATCCTCCCTGACAGGTCTGTGTTAGGGAGGCTGCCCTTGTGCCCTGGCATGACCTCTGCTGTGCCTTCTCTCTCCATCCCGTGGGCTCATGTGGTTTCAGACCATTTATTCTCTCACCCAGCCAGGCTGGTGTGGGGCTGCATGCCTGGTCTTCCCCAGTGCCATGTGCCAGGCAGAGGGAAGGCTGGCACCTGTGAGCACCACTCTGCCTGGGGATCAGTGTCAGTGCAGCACAGGGGCAGAGGAACAAACTGTGGTAGCCCTGTGTAAAGCCACGGGCTGTCAGCTCAGCTTTCCTGAGCCTGCTTCCCAACCCAAGGGCTGCCCTTGGCCTGGCAGAAGCAGCTTGACAGGGTGAGACAAATTCCTGATGGGGAAGTAGAGGTCAAGAAGTATCTCCAATGTAGAGAAGCTGGGGTTTGGGAAGCAGGGTAAAGAATAGAAGCCAGCTGAGTAGGGGCAGAATCTCAGCTAGGCTTTAGGCAAAAGTAAGTCAGCAGTGGGCAAAATATTTGGTGAAAAATAAGAAGATGGTGAGGCTGGCTGTAGGGGGGCCACTGGGATGAATTTGTGCCTGAGCAGTGTGGTCTGTGATTCCCGTGGCTAACATGAGCTTCCAGGGCAGGCTCTGGAAGGCTGTTCTAGCACCATCTAATTTACTGGGGCTGGAATTGCATTGTGAGTGTCCGAGCTGCTGAATGTGCAAGCTTGCAGTTTCACACTGCCTTAGCACAAATGCTCCAAGCATTAGATAAATGTCAAGCACAAGTGAAGAAGCGGGTTGTTCTCATGTTATCTCTAACAGTATGTTGGATGTGCTTGAAATAGAACAGTCTATATGGACTGCTGTGAACTGGCTGGGCTATTTTAAGGGTTACTAAACCTTGTGCCTGGTGTCTTTTGGGAGACAGGACTGAGGCAGCCACACGGTAGGATTTGCTCTCTGGAGCAGCTTTGCAGGGTGGGCTGCTCTTTTTGGGGTGCTGCTGTAATTCTGGGGGTGACAGAACCAATCCTTGAAAATCCAGGCCACTTGCTGCTGGGTTTCTTCCCTTTGCTTTGGGAATTGGATGCAGCAAGGCTAATCTGAGCAGCTTTTAGAAATGGCTCTAGGTTTCCTTTTGTGTGTATAGAGGAATGAGAGAGCCCAGTGAGCTCCCTTTAAGCAAAGAAGTGGATCTAAGGGTATCTGCTTATCTGGGTTTACTTTATCATCACCTGGCTACTGTACTTGGAGATGCTCAGTAGCTTTCTATCTTGGATAAAGTATTTTCATAACTAATTGTAGGGTTTGAAAATACAAAGCTTAAAGCCAATAGAACAAACAAGTGAAAAATCTGACTAAAACCCGTTTTGTTTTTTTGTTGTTGTTTTGGGGATTTTTTTTTTCTATCTGTGCCACAGTGCTCAAGTCACCACAACAGTGGTGTTTTGGAAGATATGCTAGTGAGAGATTATGGAGTGATGTTTTTGTTGATCTCAGGTGTCCATATGCTGTGTTGTTAGGCTCTTGTTGGGTGTAAGCTGGAGCGGATGGGATGAAAGTTGTTGCAGGCATTAAGTGCATCTTGAGGCAACAGCACAACCAGAGACATGGGAGTGCTGTCTATAGGTGCTGTATTGGAAAAATGCAGAGCTGAATTAAATCTGATTGTTCCCTGGCTTAGCAGTGAAATGCTCCAGGTGCTTTGTGGCAGAGGAACAACACACTGCCGCTCTCACTTAATTTCCAGCATCACCAACATCAGGTACTTCACCAGTGAGTGAAGCATGTCCTGATTTTTAGAAATGTATTTGTTCCTGGTTAATGACAGGACCTACCAGGGTTTCAAAATTTCTCTGCATACTCTGTGCTTTACTGTATTTTTGGATAGGTCATGGCAGACCAGGGGAATGGGGAGTTGTGAAAATTGCATGTTGGAAGTAAGAGATCTGTTAGTTTTTGGAGAGTGGAAGTGAGGATCTAACGTGAGTCAGTGGAAGCTTGAACAGAAGCTGTGATTCTGTGTGCCTCATCCTGCAGTGCCCTGCCAGTTCTCTAATACAGTTTGCCTCTGTCTTATCAGTATTTTTCTGTTTTATAGCCCACATCACTGTTGCTGGTGTCCTAAATGAGAAACCACAGAATGTATTTTGCATAATCTAATATTGTACAGTTGGGGGAGATTGCTAGTAAATTGTTTCTTATCAATTTTGCTGCTTCCCTCTCTCCTTGGCTGTGTCCTCTGTGATCTGTAAAGAAATCTAAGCTGTAGCTTAATATCAAATGCACTTCTCCTACTAAGAAATCCTCATAGGAATGTGACTGAAAAATGGTGTATTTATGTCCTCATTTATATCATAAAAATTATCATTGGAAATCAACTTGAAATGGAATTCAACAGTGTCCATAGTTGTAGGACAGAAAATATAGTTTTTTCTCAAAATGTGTCTAACTCCTATTTGCAGAGAGTGCTAAGAGGAGAAAAATGCTTTAGGACAGAAGATTGATGTGGAGAAATGATTGTAAATAAGGCAGGTGAGGTGAATCTGAAGCTGGGCACGGAAAGCATGGGGTGGAGTAGGGGAGACATCCTCAGGGCTGTGCAGGGAGGAGGGGAGGCCAGGCCTGTGTGTGGCTGAAAAGGGACAAACAAATGCCTGGTGGTGGCAGGAAGATGTGGTAGTTACAGGGTAGGGTTGTGGCCAGTGGCAGAAGAGGAAGATGGGAGTTTGCAGGGATGCTTTTATTACAGCGTAGAGAAGAGCTCTCGGGTTTGGAAAATCCCTGACAGCTTGTTAAACCCTGTGTTTTCCCCTGACCCTGGAAAGATTACTTGACGCTTCTGGTCATTCTCTCTTCGTGAAGTGTTCAGATGAGTGTTTGCTTTTCTTGGCTCTGAGGAGGGGCAGCAGGAGGCTGTGCTGGCAGAGCTCTGTGTTTGCTCTGAAGGGGTATCCCTGGACAGAGCCAAGGCGAAGCACAGCCAACTTCCATCCCATTGCCCTCACCACCACTCCAGACCTGCCAGTCACTTTAAAGCACTCATTTGGGGGAAAACTTTCCCAGTAATTGTAGGAAACAGCATTTCAACGTTGTTGCTGCAACCTCAGCATCTTTCTTGCAGTGCCAGGGATTGGGCCTGGAGCTGCTGTTTCTCAGTGGACCAGATTTAACCTCTTGGGATGAGCTGCCTTCTGATGGGAATAGCAGAACTGCTGGGGCAGGGTAGCCAGCTCCTGTGGCAGTGACAGGACCAGCATCCTTGCACCTGGCTCAAGGGAAGTCCCAAGGGTGAGGAAGAGTTTTCCCAGCCTTTCTGACAAAAAAAAGGAAGGGGCCTTGGTACAATGCTTGCCTGCCATGTCAAGCAACTGTGCTCCTCTACCTCAGTAGGAATCAAGCAGAGAACTTGGAAATAAGATTCATCTTCTTGGTCCTCCTGGATTGGGCTGAAGGATGTTGAAAATATTGATGCTGGTGATAAAGACCAGTTAAAGCTCCTTGAGGAGTCTTTTACAGAATCACTTAAACAAGAAGAGATTGTGAGGAAAACATTGGTTAGATTTCTCAAGAATAACTTGTGACTGAGGCAGGAAACAGATTTAGATATGTGAAGCCTTCAAAATAGCTTGGAAGGTGACTTTGGTGGGTTCCATGGAAACTACTTCTGCTCTGTAGCTTTGCAGAAGACTTACACAAGAGTGCTGCCTGGCTCAAAAAAAAAAAAATAGATGCTTAAGGAAAAAAACCTGCTAGATCTGAAACTGAAGCACGGCCTGTAGAAGACGGGGGCTGTTCCTGGGCCCTGCTAGAGCAAAGCTTGCTACAACTTTCTGGATTACTGACTGCAGTTTAGGTGAGGGTGGTTGCTGCAGGAACAGGCAGGTTTGCAGGAGAGACTCCTGTTGCAGTGAGGCTGCAGGATGGTCTCTGTTTGGGCTTTGCATGTGTCCTGTTGCTGTAACATTCACATACAGAGCATGAAAACAACTCAAAAAATAAATAACTTTAAAAAGAAGCTACTCAAATTGTAATGACATTTGGGAGCTCTGGAATGAGGTGACTGGCTACTGAATGGTTTTGAGCTGTCTATAGACAGTGGATGAAGCTGGAAGCCTAAGCTCTGCTTCATGCCAGGAGCTCCCTATTGGTGGCATCTCTTATTCTTCCTGCAGGAGGGAATAAAATGTGAGTGTGTGGGTGGGCTGGGCCCTGGGGTGGTCAGCCTGCTGATGGGTCTCAGTGATTCCCCTTGACTGAAGGGCTGGGGGTGGCCAACTGGAGCAGAGCAGCGTGGCACTGCCCCTCTTGCTGCCCTCCAGCTACTTCAGAAACCTGAAACAGGAGGGAAGTCCTCCTTGCCAAAACTCACTACTTTCCAAAATGAAATGGGGCAGAGCGTAGGAATTCTGTGTGTAGGAATTTAGTCCTTGTTCAAAGGCATCCCCAAATGTCTTTGGATTCTGCAAAGGCTAAAACAGATTGTGAGATGGGAGCATACTGACTGAATCTTTCAATAACCTAGAACCAAGAAATAAAATAAGACAGTTTTATTTGTGCTGTCTGACATCTCTTCTAATGGCTGTTTTTCAGCTAGGAGAAAACTGTTAAAAATCAAACTGCCCCGCTGTTTCAGAAGCACCTGGGCAGGACTCTGCTCTAGATTCTTAGATCCAAAGGAGAATCTCTGCAAGAATCAGCTGTGGTGGCTTCTCTAAGATATGATCTAAGCCATCTGTTTGAGGAGTGAAGGAAATCAGTTGCTTAACAAGATGTGATGCTACAGAATTTTCATAGTTATGCCTGGGTTTGCTGTGGGAGGAAAAGACCTTTTCTCAGCATTAGCAAAGAGCTTTCTAGATTAGGGGGTTTCTGCTCTTGTGTCTAATTAGATTGAACCCTAGTGCTCAAATCAATGAGCCCAAATGCTAATGTTGTCACCCACCCCCATAACGGGAAGTTGGTTGCTTTATGTAGCTGTGGTTCTTTGGAGGTTTTTTGTTGGTTGTTTTGTTTTAATCTTTTCCTCTGCTGTTTCTCAGAGCTGGTCCAAAGAGCACGCTCTTCCCTCTGGGTTTGTTCTTTTCACCTTCACCGCTGGCTCTCGCTGTGTGTTTTCATTCATGCAGACAAATGGCTCTGACACGTACGTGACACGCGCGTGGCCAGGCCCAAGGTGCTTGGCTGGGGCTGCCTGTGCAGCCACCCCGAGGGCTTTTGTGTGCAAGGGCACCTCTGCCTGCTCCTCTGAGCCCTGCTCTGCGGCCCCTTCCCAAGGGGAATGTTTCCAGCGGGGAGGCAGGTGGATGAGGGTACATTAAGGTAACCTTTGCAGCAGGCATTCAGGGAGGACGTGCAGGATGGATCTTGTTCTTTTGGCATTGTGTCTGTGTTGCAGACCTTGCAGTGGCCTCGGAAGCATGTGGCTGTGGCACTGGGGGCCCTGAAGACCGCCTGGCTTGCAGGGAGGAATGCTACGGTGGGCAGTGCACTTGGAAGGCGGGCCACGGAGGGTGAACCACGCGGCCGTGGCTGTGGGGCACAAGGTCTATTCCTTTGGTGGGTACTGCTCTGGAGAGGACTATGAGACCCTGCGGCAGATCGACGTCCACGTTTTCAATGCAGGTAAATGTGTCCTTGTGGGGCACAAACAAACGTGGTTTGTTTGGCTCAGTTATTGCTTTTCTTGCCTGCTGGTGCCTGACATGTTATACCCTGTAACATGCTGTCCGACTCTTAATTTCCAGAAAATGTTAGCAGGGTAGGTAGGAACTTCTTTCTTTGTGCAGCTTTGCATTTTCAGCTTCAGGGGCAGGACACAGAGGGGCTGTAGTTGATCTGACTGCTAGGATAAGGACTCACTGAAGTAGTCACATAGCCAATGGTTTGGTTTGTCCTTGTTCTCTGCAAACACAAACTCAGCCAGGTGCAAAGAGGTGATATCGAGCTGGCTCAGGTCCCCCCTCTAGCATGTCCATGTTCAGCTGCCCATAGTGTGGAAAGAGCAGGGTGTGAGCCAGTGCACACAGTTAAGATTCCAGGTGTAGACATCTGAGCTGTTTCCCTGTGGGGCCAGCTGACAACTGGTGCCAGCACGATGGAGTCAGTAGGGGCATGTAGCTAGGAGGGAGGCCTTCCCATTTTGGTAACAGCTATCATGCAGATTCACAACATAGCTTAGAAAAGCATCTGCAACTGGAGCCATTTGTGTAGGGTAACCAGTACCTGTCATGAGGTTGAGTTGGAGCCATGCTTGTGCTGACACAGGCTGTATTTCTTGATTGAGTGTTCCTTGAACTGAAGAGGTTACTGAGCTGGTCCATTAAGTGTTTCCCTGTAATTAGGCAGGTAATTAAAAAACTGCACAGATGCTTGGGTGGCTCCAACTAAAGAGAGCCAAGAACAGAGAACCAATGACCAGTTCAGCGTGCTGAATGCTCTGTGAGCACCCACCTGTAGACAAACCTAGTTTGTCTGTGAGATGCAATGAATTCACTCCTTTAAGACTGTTGTGCAGCAGGGATAAAAGCATTGGTTACAGAGGGCTGCCAAGGTGACCTGCTCTCAGTGTAGAGGGGGGGTAGCTCAGAATCCTGGGAACAATGACATTCACCTCTGTCCAGAGGAACTGGGCTTTCACACTCAACACAGCTGAATGCTGTAGAACGTGCCAAGTAGAGCAGCACTCTCCTGGGGAAGCATAATGACTGTGCCCAAAGGAATGCTCTTGTGTTGTCTTTCCCTCTTACCACTCCCAAACATTAAAGTGTCAGAATGCTGCAGCCACCACATGGGAAGTGACAGTGGCTTCCCAAGCCCTTGCTCAGCTAGCATTGTAAGGTGGCAGTGCTAAAGCCAAGATACCAGACTTTGAATTATCTCTTGTCAGTCTTCCAAAGATGAAAACTATGTTTTAGGTAGGAAGCATTCAGTCTAGCTTGACTTTAGCATTGGATGTGCTTCCTCAGTGCCCTTTCTGCCTGTGGGGTAGATGCTCACCTTTTGAGATGCCTGATTTTTCACCTTTCCCTATATTAGTATTTCAGAGGAACTGACACTGTTTTCTGCTGTATTTTGCATCAGCTCCATGTAGAAAACAAACCTGGAGGCTGTGTGTGGTAGAAGGAGGTGACTGGCCCTGTTATGTAATGGCTGTGTAACACTTGTTGTGGCTCTTGCACTGTCATTAACCCTGTAATACCTGTTGACTGTTCTGGCTGCTGCTGGACATGACACACAGGAAGGAGAACCTGTAATCCCAAGGAACTCCTATTAGTAATGCAAGGTTACCAGGGAGAACTTGAAACAGATGGGGTAAAGGAGGCAGACAGCCACCTCATCTATAGCTTGAAAACCAAAACAAAACCAAACAAACACTGTTCCTACAAAGCTGCTGGGTTTTTTTTACTTAAACTGTGCTTCTGCAAGTCCAGGTGATGCCTTCAGGAGTTCCCTTGCATATTACTCCAGTGAGTTATTCCTGTGCTGCCCATTCTTCCAGCTTTGAGTATCTTCAGCAATCTCTCTAGCTTGAAGTAGTGTCTGCATTCATGGTCACCTCTGTACTTTTCCATTTTTCTTTCCTTTTTTGTTTGTGTGTGTGCTATATCTTTCACTCACAGTCTAGGATGAGCCAGAGTGGAAACCTTTCCAATGAATTGTTGTAGAACAGAGCCTATTTTGTCTTCTGGGCCTCCAGAGGACTTCCTTCTGTATTTCTTAACTAGCTACTACTCGGGGTCAGACACAGCTTTCTCTTGTTTACTCAACTGCTTCTGCACCTTGTCACGGGGTGAAAAGCACCGCGCAGGATGGGTTATGAACTGTGAGCAATTCAGCAGGCTTAGCATTTGACATGGGCTCAACCTTGTGTTTCCAGTGTCTCTGCGCTGGATCAAGTTGCCTCCAGTGTGGACAAACAGCCGAGACCACGTGAGGGAGGTGCCCTACATGAGGTACGGGCACTCGGCCGTGCTCATCGACGACACCGTCTACATTTGGGGTGGCCGCAACGACACGGAGGGAGCCTGCAATGTGCTCTATGCTTTCGACGTCAGTAAGTTCCAGCCTCTCACTGTTCCTTGCCACAACTGCTCTTGATCAGACCTCCTCTCTGCCCCCCACTCTGCTCCCCAGCTTGTGTCCTTGTCCCTCGGTGACAGTGTGGAGGAGATGGTGTCACTGTCTGTTTCAGCGGTTTTAGAAGTGGGGTATGGTGGCCATTGTGTCTGCACGCTTACATCTCTGTAAAAGCCTCTGGGCAGAGATTGTTGATCTTTTCTAATAATGAAAATGGTTTTGATTTTTCTATCAGCTTTGTGTGCTCTCTCTGATAACTGAAGTGTTCTCTCTATGTGATGTAGTATTCCTTAATTGTGGCTGAAGGGTGAAGCAAGAAGGAATTGGGCTCTTGATGATTATGGTTCCTCTCCAGCGTGGTCCTTCTTTCTGAAGGTGTGAAGGAGAGTGAGGAACAAAGCACAGAAGTAGTCCAGGACAGGATGGCAAAATCAGGGGAGACATGAGTCAAGTTAGATAAACATGAAAAATAAACTCCTTAAGCTTTTTGGTTGGCTGCTCCATAGCACTGCTGGAGCACCTCTGGAGAAAAGGCACCATCAGGAGCTTCATGGACAGAAGTGTCAGGAAAGCAAAGGAGTATGTCTGGATTTTGGATGCAAGTCCATCTGAATACTGGCCAGTAACTGTCTTGCTGAACTTGCAAGGAAACTGCTTGTTCTGGTGCTTGGTCCAGGGATCTCTTCTTTACCAGGAAATATCTTACAGCTTATGGCATAGGGCTTCCCCCTTCCTTCCCCAACACACATGCAGCTGAGAAGCCACCAGTAAACCTCTGCCTACACAGAGGCTTTGTAGTGGGGCCTGCCTGGTCTCCCTGGCAGCTCCAGTGCTTTAGCATTAAGTGAAAATTACCAGAAAGTCCTGCTCTAAACCCTCTGCAGCTGTCTGTACACACAGGCCTGCCATTCCTGGAAAGTAAGGCTGGCTGTCACAGTCCCATGTCTGTCATGTAAGTTCCTCTGTAGGAGTCATATCAGGCTAAATAAAGTCCTGTCTGAGTGCAGTTGTGTCCCTGTGGTGTTGAACAGATCACAAAAAATTGAGGTATTTTCCATCTCTAATTTAACATGCTGCACTTGGGTGAGCTTTTTCTGATACAATGTGACTGGGTTTGGAAGCAGCCCCATGGAGAAAAGGAACTCGATAGCCCTGAGCTGTCTCACTAGAGGCTCCCCAGGGATTCTGCTGACCTTGCAAGCCCCTTTGTGAGGTGCCAGCTGGAGCATAGGTGGACAGTTGTGTCCACAGGCCAAGTTCAGGGAAGTCATCCTCATGCTTTGGCTCCGGTGTTACGACTCTCTGAAATAAGAACTGCTTTTGGCAGCCGAGGGCTGTTAGGGAGGGTGGGAGAATGTCTCCTGCAGCCTCGAGGCTTATCTGTGCCTCTCGGAGCTCCTGGGGCAGGTGCCTGTTAGCGCTTGGCACCGACCCGCTGGCTTGGCTCTGTGCTGCCCTGGCATGGAGAGCAGCTCTGGCTGGATTTTAAGTCATCTTCTAAATCGAGCCAGCCCCTGGAGTGTGCAGGCTGAGGGGCTGAATCTGTTCGGTGCAGGCTCACAGGGAGCATTGTGAAGGGTGGAAAGTGAGGAAGAGGGGATGAGAACGTAATAAGTGGAGCAGATAAGACAGGGAGAGAGCTGCCCTGCAGAGGTGGAGATATGCACAACAGCTAGCATGGAGAACTTGTGATTAGGTGATTGGTATCTGGGTTTGAGAGCTGTTTTTCCTCAGTCTTGCTCAGTTACTGAGCGTCTCCCCGCCATGAGGTCAGTTGTGCCACTTAGCATTATTGCTTCATTGTAATAGAAAGTGTGGATGCAGAGTTGATAAGTGACTCACAAGTACAATCTGCGAGAGATTCGGGAAAAGTAACATTGTTCAAGTCCTGCTGTACTACTCACACTTAAAATGTGAGCTCTTTGTCAGGTCTGGCAGTCGGTGGCCATGCCAAGAGGCTGAGGCTTCTGTCACTGTGTCCCTCTGTGGGGGCTCAGGCAGGTAGCCTTGCCCAAAGAAGCTTGCAGCCTCTCTGGCAGAGTGGGTGCTGTGAGAGAAAACACGAATGATTTTTGCTTTAGAAATTAAGAACAGTAGTAATAGGACTATCCCACCCCAACTCCTACTGTGTTTTCTCAGCACTGCCTCTTGTTTTGTTTCAGACACACACAAGTGGTTCACACCAAAGGTGTCTGGAATGGTCCCAGGGGCAAGAGATGGGCACTCAGCTTGTGTCCTGGCAAAGAGCATGTTTATCTTTGGAGGCTATGAACAGCTGGTGAGTAGTGTCTGTAACTGCTAATTGGTGAGCCCTTGGGAAAGAGGGTGTTGATACCCAGGACACTGATAGAGGCAGGACACAGGAGTGTATTTGTATTCCAAGTCACTCTCATTTTGTAACTTAGCAAAGTTATGGCATTAGTACCCAAGTTATGGTAATTGTTTTATGGAGAAGATGGTTGGAAAAGCAAGTCCAAAAAAGTGTTGAATTTTTTTTTTTTTAAATTTCACAAAACATATTTACCACAAAGAGGTAATTTTTTTTCTGGCTCATTTCTCAGCCAAATGTAGATACATAAATACACAACATTTTTTAATAAGTATATATTGATCTAAATTTATTTTAATTTGACTCAGAAATGAGCCAGAAAAATCACTTTTTGCAGTGTTGCTGTGAAGTTTTGTCCTAGTCTGGTGTATGTTCCCTGTAGTGTCCACCTGCTCTGACATCTTGCTGATCCCTTTCAGCAAGCATTTGGTTGCCTTCCCATTAAGAATACCTTGAGCCAAAGTTCATCCTGCAATAGCTGTCAGTGTACCTAATGCTCTTTTTAGCATGATCTAATCTTATGATCTAATCTTCAGAAGTGGGTAAATAAAAATTATCACCAAATTCCAGAACAGATGTGCAAAGTCACATCAGTTTGTTTGGAAGAAAGGTGAGGCTCTGTTACAGAAGTCTCTGGGTTATTCCTTCTTTTCTGAGGTTGATAGCAGGCCAAATCCATTATATTGATTACAGCAGCAGGAGGGGTTTAGATGTCTTTTTTTTTTAACAAGACCAAATAAACCTCTGGCTGTCTTGCTGCTCCTTACCTTGCCTAGAGGAGCAGGAGTCCACTTTTTGTGTGAATGCAATCTCCTCCAGGCAGCCAGCTGCAGATGGGTTTTGTGGGACCTCAGAACCTGGAGTGTATTTTCTCCTGGATGTTCAGCTTCCCAGAAGTAATCTTAGCTTCTGCATCCCATTAGGCAGCCTTAGCAGAGCCAGTCTGACTGTCCTGCCTCTGCCTCTTTTATCTGCTGCTACATGGAGAGGAGGCAGGCTCCTGCCATGAGTGTATTCTGTGCCTTTGGGGGAGCAACTGAGCACCAAATAAATGGGAAAGCTGCAGGAAGAGACAGGACACCTTTGGGAAAAAATGGGCTTTGCTTTCTTTTTGATACTTGATAAGTGCTGCCTGAGCAAGCACCTTGTTTCTTAGGAAGTACTGAATCCAAAGGGATGCTCCAGGTCTGCAGGGCAGCATCCTTTCTGGGGCTGGATGCGACCAGGCTTCTCAGCCCCTTTGTGACCAAGCTGCTTGTGTGTCTTCCAGGCTGACTGCTTTTCAAATGATATCCATAAATTGGACACCACAAACATGACGTGGACCTTAATCTCTGCCAAGGTCAGTGTCTGCTTTTCCCTCTGGTTTGTGGAGGAAGTTTTGCATCTGCTATTCCCTGGGGTAGCTGCCCACACTTGTCTCACAGCTTCTGGCTGATGTGGCTGGGATCTACAGGATGGGAAGTTCTCCAGGAGAAGGCAGCCACCCAACTTCCCCATCAAGATATGTTATTTCCCTGGCTAATCTGCACTCTTTTCTTTTGTCTTTATTTTCTACTCTGTCCTTCAGGGTACTCCAGCTCGCTGGAGAGACTTTCATTCAGCTACCATCATTGGAACAAAGATGTACGTGTTTGGTGGCAGAGCTGATCGTTTTGGGCCGTTTCATTCTAACAATGAGATCTACTGTAACCGCATTAAAGTGTTTGATACAGAAACCAACTCCTGGCTGGACTCCCCTCCCACTGCCGTGCTCCCGGAGGGCAGGCGGAGCCATTCAGCCTGTGAGTGTGGGTCTGCTCAGGGTGGAGGATGGAGGAGGGAAGTTTCTGCCTGCCTTAGAAGGGTGGGGCTGTGGGTTAGAAAGGGTTGCACAAAGCCCAGTTTCTGTGGAAAGCTGCTGCCCACCCCACACTGCACATGAAGGTGATGTAAGGAGAGGTGGACAGCCAGCACCACGTTGCTTTGTGTTTGGTGTTGGGTCAGGGACCTGCTGGGTGGCCCTCTGATGTCTGTGCTTACTCCCTACAGTCAGCTACAACGGGGAACTATATGTATTTGGTGGCTACAATGCACGCCTGAACAGACACTTCCATGACCTCTGGAAATTCAATCCAGGTATTTATGCTTTTAGCTTGCTGCAGTCATAGTGCTCCAGGCCCTCAGGCATGTGAGTGCTCAGAGAAACATTCTGTCCAAGGAGTACTGCTTGGGGAGGAATAGCTCCTGCTTCTTCTGACAGCAACTTGCTACCTTGCCTGTTCCTCCTTGGGATGTTTCCAGACCTCAGTTAGAAAATAGAAAATTAGGTATTGCTGAAAGACATATTTAATTGGAAAAACTTTGTCTTGTTCTTAAATATGCAAAAGTACTGTCAGAAGAGAAGATATGGGGAAGCAATAGAGTTAGGGAAGAGAGAGACTATAGCTGGAGAAACCATTCAACTTGAGCTGCAGGGTCACCATCTCTTGGTACCAGCTCAAACTGTGCTGCAGAAGGGGTGGTTCTTCAGCTGGTACCTGCATATCAGTCTGCTGTGAGCTGCTTTGGGGTCCTCCTTCACTGTCTAGACTCATTTTGTTTGCTAATTGCTTTGCATAGTAAAGTTACCTGAGAGCAGCCAACCAGCTGCTCCCCAAGCTGATTGTGAGCTGGTGTGAGAGCTCCTGCAGGTTTCAGTCCTGTGCATGGTCGCCCCCAAGCATCCTTGCCACAGAGAGCAGCAAGAACAAAGGCTGCTGTCTCCACCTGGTCCGGTTCTCCACGCCCTCTTCCTGCAGCCGAGCTGTCCCAGCAGCTGATGCACCTCTGCCAGCAGCCTGCCAGCAGATGGAGCTGGTTCCTGGATCTCCCTCCTCCAAATCCCGACCGCAGCAGGCTCTGGGGAGGGGAGGCTGCCTGTCTGTTCCCGCAGCTCTGCCCAGTACAGCTCCCTGTGATGTCGGACCTGCTGCCGTGGCAGTCCGTGGGTCCTGGTGCTCAGGCTTTGCAAGTGAAAGGCCTTGATGGGGCCCTGAGCAATTTGGTTTAGTGCAAGGTGTCCCTGCCCATGGCAGGGGGTTGGAACAAGATGGTCTTTAAGGTCCTTTCCAACCCAAACCATTCTATGATATAATGTGCAAATCCTGTCTCAGTAGGCAGAGCTCCAGGACTGTGACTGGCATCTGAATGGCACTTCAGTAATAACCTCTTAGAATTAGCCATTAACGAGGAGGTCAGGGGAGAGGGTGTCTGGGGGGTAGTGGGCCTCTGCTTTTCCTGTGATCTGTTTAAATCCATAACCTGCTTATAGCTGGTCTTGGCCAGGCTCTTGTGCCAAACTGGTGAACTCTTTTCCTCCTGTTAGTTTCTCTTTCCTGGAGGAAGATTGAGCCCAAGGGCAAAGGGCCGTGTCCTCGGCGCCGGCAGTGCTGCTGCAGAGTGGGAGACAGAATCATCCTCTTTGGAGGTACCAGGTGAGTTGTGTGAGGTGGCTCCTCAAGAGGCTTTGCCAGTCCCTTCAACACAGTGTCCCTTCATGCTCTGACCCACGCTGTATCAGATGGACTTCAGAGGCACGTGGCAAGTGTCAGCCTATCTGACAAGTGTAGGCAATCATGTACATCAGGGCTCCCCTGAAAAAAGGCCATGGAAGAGACTGAAGGTGTCATGTAAGCTTGTAAGGCATCTGGTGACAAGCCATCTTGTACATGTAGAGACAGAAGGGTGTAACAGGGTGCTCAGGAGGAGCTGTGCAGTGCTCAAGCTTTCTGGTAAAGAGGTTGTGGGGATAAGAGAGGAGATCCTGCTGTCAGAAGGACATGTTTCTCAGTCTGCTGTGCCAGAGCAGACCTCAGAGTGACTTATCTTCGCCTACGGGCTGCCCTGCTGCTCCCACCAGAGCTTCTTTCTTCCACTGACAAGTGTGGGTTCTGCTGCCAGGCTGCAGTGGATGTCAGCTCAGCTCGGAGCTGTTTGAGGAGCCTACACACATGACAAGACAATGTTGCCTTCTGTGCCAGTGTTCCTTAGCAACATTCCCATTCACAACAGGGACCTGGTGTTAGGGATTTAGCTGTCAAACACTGGAAGTGATACTGTCAGGGTGCAGGGCAGCTGGATGTGGCCAAGAGCCTTAACAGCTGCTAAAAGAAAGGAAGTGGCCTATCACCAGGACACACTCTATGCTGTCTGGAGTGACAAATTGCAGCTCTGGAGCACAGTCCTGCTTGCCAGTATCTACCTTGCAGAGACTTCTTAAATGCTTTCAGCTCTCCATGTGGTTTGGAAAGCTTTGGGTCTCTCTGGGATGTTGTCAGTAGCTTTTTGGAGATGCTTCTGAAGCCAGCTTGGGGCAGAGAACCAAGCAGGACAGTTTCTGCTGGTGACCTGACCATACCAATGTGTGATGGGGTGAAGGGCCTTCAGGTTCCAGGGGTTCAGGGGGAGTGTGCTTAGCTGTAGGATGTCCACGTGACTTTGAGAGAGTGCTCAGTGCAGGTGAGGTATGCAGAGGTGCTGAGTTTATCCAGCCTCCTCAAAAGACACTGGGTGCTGCTCAGTACAGCAGAAGGCTTGGTAGGGCTTTATGGGAGTTTGTGGTGGTCCCAGAGGCTGTGTAGATGTGTGTGACAGCAGCAGCAGCTGAACTTTGATGTTAAGCCTTGGGAAATGCTAGCAAACCACAACAAATTTGACACCAGCTTTTTGGAGTTCGGTTCACCCTTGCAAGGCAACGCAGCAGTGCCTTGTCTTCCCCATGAACCACTTGAGAATTCAGCTTGTTTCATAGGTCAGGCTCAACCCCAATACAGGCACATTCATCAGCACTAGCTGGGCTTGGAAGAGCTGCTGGCAGCCAGGAATGCAGCCTGCTTGAGCTGGAGGGAGGGTCTTGCAGGCTGGGGAAGTGGGAGGTGGGGGTGGGCCTGCTCCTCGCTTCCTGTAACAGTTATCAGGTGTGCTCTGGAGCTGCCTGGCGAGATAAGAAGTTTTCCAGGAAGTCGTTGTAATGGAGAACTCCCAGTGGTCTGCCTCCTGACCTGTGCTCCCCTGGCTGGGAAGGGGGAGGGGTTGGGGCTGTCCTGCAGGGATTCTCAGAGGATGAGCCGGCAGGCTCAGCTTTCTAGGGAAAGGCACTGGGGGATGGGCAGGCAAAACCCCTTTGTGTCTGCCCTTCCAGGATTCACACATCCTGTAGACTGCTGAAGAGGCACTTGGGCTGGCTGCTTGCTCCTATGGCATCCAAAAGCTTTGTTTCTTTGGTAGTCCTTGCCAGAGCTTGGTCTTTTTGCCCCAGCTGTGGTCCCTCACTGTGGCCAGGAGCAATCCCTCACTTGTGTCCCCTTTTAGGGACCAGGAAGCTTGGTGTTCCCATCAGCTGTGTCACAGTTGTGGCCCTGATCTGGTTTCCTCCCAAGCCCACCAGCAATTCAGTGTGCAGAGACCATCCACAAGAAGTGGGGGGAGAAGGAATGCTATAAAACATTTAGCTGAAGAGATGCTGATCCAGATTTGGCTTGAGACTGTGTTTTCCCTGACAAGGCTTAGGGATCCTGGCTCTGGTGAGGGAATAGGGGCTGTCACTGAGTGCAGGGTGAGTTGTTTTGCAGCTGGAATAAGCAGTTTTGCAGGGCTCTGGCTGGCAAAGGTGTGCCCTGCACGCTGCTGCCTGGGACTTGCAGGGGATTGCCTGGTCTTGAACTCCAGGCTCACCCTGCTACTTTCCTTTTGGTGATTAAAGCCACAGACATGGTGCCTGCTGGCTTTCCTTTGATAGATAAGGGATGGTCTAGGGCTTCCTGTGACGTGGATGTGAGATTAGATTGTGGTGTGGCAAGCACACGAGGTGGAGTTAAAGGGGCTCTTGCTGTATCCGGGCAGATGGGTCCCATCAGCAGCAGGTCTTTTGTGCCAGCAGTGAGCTGTGCTCTGCAGTTTGGCCTGAGGTTGTGGGGACCTGGGGGAGCAGGTACTGCCTCATGTCCCATGAGGTGTGAAGCTTAGTGGCTCATGGGTGGGGAAACAAGTGAAGCTGAGGCCAGGAATCACTGCATGAGGTCGGTCCCAGCTAAGAGGTGGGGGCACACTAAGTTGGTTTGTCACAGACCATAGCAGGACTTAAAACACTTTTCCTTTCTTTCAAATTCTCCAAACAACCGTCAGCCATGGGAGTATTTTCCCCTGTTTCAGCACAGGCTGATCTGTCTGTGCAAGGAGATGTAGTGTCCAGTTTCTCAGGTGCTTTGTTCCATCAAGACCAGTGTGGCAGGAAACGATAGGTGAGGCTGTCTGTTCCCTAGAAATGCCTGGTGTTGTAGTTCCTCATTAGCATTCCTGGACCAACATCAAATGGGAGTATCAGCAAATTGGAATTAGTTTAAAATGACTGCTGCATTGCTCAGTGCTCAGCTACAGTCTTCTGAAATACCATCCTCATTTTGGCACAACCACTCCAGCTGTGGCTGGAGTCCAAGTGATCCCTCAGTCGGACTGAGAAATGTCTGTGCTTGCCCTGCCATGCAGATGTTTTCTAGCTGCTTTCTCTACACTCTTACAGCATCTCAGTGGCCAAGCTGAAATAAATGCAGTAGATCTTAACTACCTGAGAACAGGAGTGATGGACAGGTGAGGGGGAGGCTCATGGCTGGAATCATCATGGTCATCCATGAAAAGGAGGCAGACCTCCCATGCCCTGCAGAGGAAATAGTGTGGGTTTCTACTCCCTGGCTCCTGTGCAGCTCTGCCTACTCTGCAAGGAGCTGAGAAAGTGATGACTTTGGGTGCTGCTTGGGTCATCAGAGGGGCAGGAGGGAACACAGGGCCGTGCCTGGGACAGGCAGGCCAGGAACATTCCTGGGCTTGCACAGCCCTTGGTTAGCTGGTGTATAAGAATTTTGGCACTGACTGATACACTGTGCTTGCTTTCTGCAGCCCATCTCCAGAGGAGGGAATGGGTGATGAATTCGACCTGATGGATCACTCAGATCTCTACATCCTCGACTTCAGTACGTGAGCACTTCCTGCCCAGCCTGTACCTCTTACCACAAGGTGCCCTGTGAGCAGGCCCTGCTGTGAAACACCTAACAGTGCCCTCTGTGGCTGCAGGTGCCATGTCCTGGAGCCAGACAGCTGTGTCTGACCAGTGTGCTTGGCTTAAGGCAGAGCAGCCAGAGGGGCAGCCATGCTCTGTGCACTCCTGCATGCAAGACCTCTTGTGGGAGCACAGAAGCCACCCCAGCCTGTCCCTGGTGTGCAGATTGTCTTGTCCCTCAGACAAGGCTCTGCCCTGTTTCCTGTGGCACTGATTGCATGATGCTGGAGCCTCCATGGTGTCCAGTCAAAGCCTGCTGTAGCTAAACTGCTTTCTTTTCACAGGCCCCAGTCTGAAGACTCTGTGTAAGCTAGCAGTGATTCAGTACAGCCTGGACCAGTCCTGCCTTCCCCACGACATCAGGTATGGTGTGCCTTGCTGGGAGCTTACCCTGGGTGCTCCCTGACCTTGAGGTGCTCCAGCCTGGCTGAGGGCTGCCCGGGGCCCTTGGCACTGTGCACCTTTGATGTGGGCTGCAGTCTGTAGCTGAGGCTAACATGAAGCAAAGCTGCTCTAGCCCTGGGCACTGTGTTTGTGCTCTCTCTCAGTGTATACTCTTGGTGTGTTACAGATGGGAGCTCTCAGCCATGACAACGAACAGCACCATCAGCCGCCCCATTGTCTCCAACCAGGGCTGAAGACAACTCGTCCTTCTACCACCCTGCCCTCACCCCTCCACATACTGACCTCTTGCTCCACTGCCTGCATGAATTTTTAGCCCTTTCAAGCAAGGAATGTGTGAGCTCGGTTTGTCTTGCCCTAGCTAGGCCTCCCTCTGTCCTTGTCACGCTTTGGGCAGCACAAGTGGACAGGCAGAGCTGGCCACTGAGGGAAAAACTGTCTGGCCCCAGCAGCACAGCTGTGACCCCTCTCCTTGCTGGTGGCTCTAGAGCTTCCTTTCCCTTTGCCTGTGGAACTGCAGCTGTGCTGTCCGGTGTCCATCCACTTTCCAAGGGCCTGAATCAACTCTTACCACCAGCCATGGCTCTGGGGTTGATGTCAGGGTCAACCTGAACTGTTCCTGCATTGCCTCAAGAGAGCAGGAACCTCTACACCTGCTCCTGCCAGCACTGACAGCTTCCTGGCACTAAATGGCAGGCCCCAGCTCCATGCTAAGCCCAGTGTGGGGGCCTGGGCCCAGCTGGACACTGCCCAGCTCCCATTGTAAAACAGCAACTGGGGGAAGTTTTATAAACGGTGAGGCAGACATGGTTTCTGTGTGTCCTGGCAGATGAACTGGGGGAGAAAAGGCATGAGGGGAGAGACTGAACCAGGTGCTTTTCCTGAAGCTGTAGGCCACTGGTGGCTTGTGGCAGCAGCAGGCAGTGGCTGATGTGAGCCACAGCCCTGCCTGGGGTGGGGAGGGGAAGCTGGGCCCCCCCAGCAGCACTGCCATGGGACACCTGCCTCCTGCCCAGAGCTGTGCTGTCCTGCAAGAGGACAGAAGGAAAATGCTGTACTTCTCGTGGGCTGCACTGCCTCAGGTAGGTGGATGCTCTGTAGCTTCCTGCTTCAGGGCTGAAGGTGCAGGGATGCCTGGGACAGCCTTTCTGGGTGGCACAAAGGGCTGTGCTCAAGCCCTTTCCCACCAACATGAGGCATCTGATGTGAAGAGGAGCTCCAGTGGCAACTGTAGTGGGTCTAGTGCAGAGAAAGCTAAGGAAGCACTCAGGGCTTTCCCTGGGATGGAAAGTCACACGGGGAGCTGAGATGGTGGTGGCTGCATGCCAGGAACCTGGGTGGCAGAGGGCCCAGGCTGTCTCCCCTGCCCTGAAGGCCGGCACACAGCCAGGGTCAAGTGCTCATCCAGCAGCACAAGGTTGCAGAGGTGCCTGGGCTCCTCAGCCTGCAGGAGGTGGCCAGTGCAGGCAAGTGGAGCAGTCTGGAGCAGTGTGAGCGCAGTGAAAACCCCGTGGCAAGAGAACAGAAGGCCCCACAATGGTGACAAGAGCTTGTTCTTCACACACTGGCAGCACCTCGCTGTGATAGGTGATGAGCATCATTGGCCTGGAGAGAAACAGGGTGTGCTGTGACAGCAGATCTGACTGAAGGGAGCAGCCCCAGCCTGGGCTCATCCTTTATGGTCCTTGGCACCTGCAGGTTACCAAGAGGACTTAGGTGAACATCTACCACGTGTTGTCCAGTGGCTCCAACTCCCGTCCTCTATCAGCTGCCTCAGCCACAGGCACTCTCTCCAAGCTGTGAAATAAATGGTGGAATTTTTTTTCCTGTGCACTAAAGCACCAAGCTTACTCTCCTTGAGCACCCAGAGTCCCTGTGCTGGGTTGTGTGGTGCTGAGCACAGAGGTTCCTCAATTCTGTCCATGAATGACTGTCACTGGGAGGAATCTCAGTCTCTGGGGCATTGAGGGGAGACAACAAGGCCCAGAAAGGCTCAGCAGCCCATGCCAGCTGCCTCTAGGAGAGCAAACCTTTGTGGGGGAGAAGTCTCCTCTGGGAAGAAAAGTGGTTCATCAGGGAGAGGGGTCACTGACACCCCACTCCTCTTAAAGAGTTCTCTTGGGTTTAGGGTGCTGTGGCTCTATCCTGCCTTTGCCAGGAACTTACTGCAGGCCTGGGCACACTGCTCACCACCTTGGTCCTGGTCTCTGCAGTGTATTTTCTTGGCTTATCAGCTCCTTCTCCCAGCATCCACGTCAGTCATCAGAGCTGCTGGAGGGCAGACTAGACACAGGATGTTCTGCAGGGCTGGCAGCAGCTGGGCAGATGTGTGCCCCGCAGGGACATCCCTGCTGCCTTTGTCACTGCCCCCTCCTGAGCGGCAGGTTTGCTTTAAAGACCCTGGCTTCCTTTTATTACTTCCCCTCTCAAATTTCAACTGGTTGCAAGGGCTATTTTTAGCAGCCTGCCTTCTAAAAATAGCCCCGAGCTGTTTGGAGTTGCGTCACAAGAGGTAATTCTCGCCCGTGAGTGGCTTGGCCTCTGCACCCCAGGAGGCTACAAAAGGAGGCCAGGAGCAGCAGGGTCAGCAGGTTCAGCCACAGCCCGAGGCGAAGGAGGCAGCGGTTCCCTGCCAGCGGTTCCCTGCCAGCTGCAGCCACCCCAGCCCCGGCAGCATGACCATCTTCTGCAGCCACTGCCACCGGCCGCTGCAGGCAGAGATGAGCTGCCTGCCCGCCAGGGCCAAGCAGGCGCCCGGCGCCTCGAGGCCGTTCAGGTGAGCTCTCCCCCACCTCCTGCCGTCCCTCAGGGCTGGGTGGCCTCCCAGAACCCGGGATAGCTGCTGTAGGGTCTGACGGCCCTTGCAAGGTGCTGACACCAGCAGCGGGACTGCCAGCCAGCACATGGGGAGGAGGTGTAGGAATTTGGAGGGGCAGAGGGATTTTAGGTGGTTTAGGAGGAAAGGTATATTGTACTGGGCTGGGGTGCACATTGCAGCACCGGATGCAGTTTCCATCCTGGTGGGGAGGTTGTGTCACATGGGCTCCCCACCAAAGCCCAGGTCATTGTCCAACCTGGTGCCCAGCAGGAGAGGCACCAGCCATACCAGCAGCATGTGCCCCTGGGTAGGCTTGAGCACCTCTGCCTGTGCCCACAAGGTTTGCTCTCCTAGAGGCAGCAGCAGCTGGCACGGGTGCTGAGCATCTCCACTCCATATCCCCAAGCTCGCAGTTCTTCCCACAATGACAGGCAGGGAATGCTGTCCCTTCCCCTCCCTGGACACGTGTCCCAGATGGCTGGCTTTGCAGGTCAACCAAGAGTGCTTCCAAGGCTCGCCGAGACCAGATCAACGCGGAGCTGCAGGCGCTGCGCTCCCTGCTGCCCATCTCTGCACAGGAGAAGGAGCGGCTCTCCTACCTGCACACCATGGCCCTGGTGTGCCTCCGGCTGCGGGGGGCTCAGCTGTTCCCTCCAGGTACCCTCAGCACTGCTGTACTCCACTCGCTTGGCTCTGTGTGGGGCACTGCCCCTCCCTCATCCAAGACAACACTTCACCCTCATCCCCCTGCAGGCTTGGCTCCTCCTACGGGACCGGCCCTTGGCACAGAACTACTCTCCCTGCTCCCGGGGTTTCTGCTTGTGCTCTCAGCAGACAGCAAGCTGGTCTACATCTCAGAGAACGTGACCCAGGTCCTGGGCCTCTCCGTGGTAAGGCCTGCTCACTGGGCATTTACTGTCCCCGTACCCATCCTGGTGCCTTTATTGCCTGCCCAGCACGCTGCCCCAGCGGATGCTGGGCTGTGGCTCCAGCAGGCTGTGCACCCACAAAGCCAGCCAGGGCCCACTGAGACAGGCACAGTCTCTGAGGGCAGCCCTCTCTTTGTCAGGTGGAGCTGCTCGCCCAGGGGGACACGGTCTTTGACATCCTGGATGGGCGAGTGGGAGAGGATGTGCACAAGAAACTCCTCCTTGCCCGGGAGGAGCCTGGCAGGGGTAAGGGAGGCCTTGGCTGGCATCTCATGGATCTTGCCACCCTGCTCTGGCCCTTGGGTGTGATTCGAGAGCAGGCCAGCCCTGCTGGGAGCAGAGTGAGGGAGCTCCTGCCCCACTCTGAACGGTGTTTTTCCCTGCAGAAATCACTTTTGTCAGCGAGATGCGCACGTCCAAGGCCTTCCGGCTGCAGCACGGCGGGAATCGGGTGGTGGCAGTGTGCGGGCGCTTTGTGGCCCTGCGCTGGCCACCCTCCCCCTCCACCACAGCCTTCCTGGCTCTCTGCACACCCCTTGTGCAGTCTCCCACAGATGGCGAAGCTGCTTCCCAGGATGATGTATTCCAGAGCATGCATCTGCTGGACATGACATTTATTGATGTCACCGAAAGGTGAGGGGTGCCTGCTTGCACCACAGCCCCAGCTGTCCATCTCGGGCAGCAAGAATCATTTCCCTTCACCAAGCCTGTGTATGGGATGCAGGCTCCGCACAGCACTCAGTCCCCACTCCCCTTGTCATCCCCAGTGTCACCTACCACCTAGGCTACCACCGGGAGGAGCTGGTCGGTCAGTCGTGGTACAGCCTCCTGCACCCTGAGGATGCTGACCTGGCGGCTGCCCAGCACAGGGCCGTGGGTGAGTGTCATACCCGGGAACGTGCGTGCTGTCCCCTGGCTCCATGGTCTGGTTATGCCTGAAACGTGGCTATCCAGGACAGCAGCGACAAAGCAAATTCAGCCCTCCCTGCTGTGACCCCTTGCTCCAAAAAGGATGAGGTGGGGAAGTGGTTACACATCCATACACTGTCTATAAGTGGTTTCCAAGCTGAGGGTGGGCATCCACGGTATACAAAAGAGGGACAAGCACACCTGAGCCCCATCTCTTTGGGAGGGCAGGACTGCTACGGATCTGACTCTGCTCTGTGTTGATTCTGTCCCGCTGGGGCCAGACTAGTGGCCGGCGGCAGAGCCCATCGGGGCAGCCTGCGGGGCTATCCGGGCACCCTGGGGCCGTGCCCTGCTGCCGGCTCACGCAGTCCCTTCCCTTGCCCGCAGCGCTGGGGCCCGGGGCCGGGCCGGCAGCGGGGAGCGCCGTGCTGCGAGTGCTGCGCAAGGACCGCGCCTGGAGCTGGCTGCGCGTGTGGGCGCGGCGGGACGGCGGCTGCATCACCTGCACCTGCCGCTGCCTCAGGTGAGCGGGATCTGGGGATGGGGGCTGCATCACCTGCACCTGCCGCTGCCTCAGGTGAGCGGGATCTGGGGATGGGGGCTGCATCCCCTGCACCTGGCGCTCAGCCCCTTACGCCGTGTCCGTCGCAGGGAGGAGGAGGCGGCCCACCTGCGCTCCCGGCAGCCCCGCGCTGCCGTCCCGCCCGCGGGCCGGGATCTGGGGCGGCTGGCCGAGCAGCTCCGCGCCCTGGCCGACAGCCTGTCGCCGCCCGCCGCCGCGCCCTGCCGCTGGGCTCGTCCCGAGGAAGCCCAGGACGATGCCTCTGCCTGCCTTGGGAACTCCGTGCTGCACCCTCCCAAGCTCCTTCGGTTTCCTTTCGAACAGAAGATGGGGTGCAGCGTTCCAAGTGTGCTCTCGCAGGTGTCGAGCGCTCAGAGATGCTGACTCCCCTGGGTCTGCTGGCTGTACCTTTTCTAATGCAGGCCACTGTGTGTAACCACACAGCCTTTCAGCCTGCTGCTCGCTTCTGGCAGCTGCAGCTGATCCACTCGGAGGCCGCGGAAAACCCTCGTTCCATGCTCTTGGTGCTCGTGTGGGAAACTTTGGGCTGCGATAAATCCGGCACCAGGACACTCAGTCCAGCAGCGCAAGGGGATCCTGCACTTAAAAACACTTATTGACTGCTTAGTTGGATATCGCCAGGGCCTTTGTGTACGTGACCCGTTCCGCAGGAAGGAAGGATTTTTGCTATTGCCGCTGCCTGCGCGTGCTCCGCTTCCGGTTCCGCCGGTGCCGCGCGGGCCGTTCCGGGGGCGATGGGGCCGGGACGGGGACAGGGACGGGGACCGGGATGGGGACGAGCCGCTGCCGCCGCAGAGGGCGAGGAAGAGGCGGCCGCGGAGCAGCGGCTCGGGAGGCTGGAGCCGGCGGAGGAGAGCTCTGGCTCCAGCGACGAGAGCGACGACGGCGGGAGCGTGGCGGGGGCTGGCGGGAAAGGTGAGGGGGAGCGCCGCCGGGAAAGGCGGAAAGGCGGCAGCCTCAGCTCCCGCCGCTCGCCCGGTGGGAAACGAGCTGCCGGATAGCTCGGTGCCCCCTCCAGCCCCTGCCTCCCTCCCTGGCCTGCCCGGCCGGGCAGCTCAGGGTCGGCAGCAGGGTTTGGCTGGGGCTGGGCGAGAGGTGCCTGAAACAAACGCGTGTGGGGACCTGAAAGATCACCTCAGCCAGGGAACTGCACCCCTGCCCTGGCAGGGACGCACCTCGCAGCGGGCAGGTTGCTGTGGAAGGTGTCGCTGTTCGGGGACAGTGCTCTGTGCCGGAGCCTCACAGGACAGGAGAGGGGACGAAGCCCGCCATGCCCGCTGTGAGGGCTGAGGGTCAGCGTGGGCGTTCTCATCCACTGCTGCAAACACAGTTTGGGTTCCTCGTCTCAGAACGATCCCAGTGGGAATGAAAACCTTACAAAATACAAGACAAAAGCCCCTGAAAGGAATTGAGGGAGTGGGCGTTGATGTTAGCTGCAGGCACAACACAGCAGGTCACGGGTGTGGAGTCACTGATTCCTCATGAATGGGTCTCCAGGGCGTGGCTGTGGGCAGGCACATCTCTGGAGGTGAGCTTTGGCAGTGGCATTCAGGTGGGCAAGATGCCTCGCCCTCTGTTGCAGGCACTTTGTTTTCCTCTGGTGAGGAAATGGTGAGCAAAGCTCAAAGAGAGGATCACCGACAGACACCCTCTCCTTCCCACAGCTGGATGGGAATGGGAACAGCAGTTTTGCTTTTGCCATCTGTCAGGGCACTCTGTGATCTTGTTTGTGGAGCAGGAGGAGTTACATTGCAGTCCAGCACTGATTTTGTCTCAGCAGGGAAGGACTGGGCAGATATCAGGTATTTCTTGAGGCCATCTGTTCTTGCATCCTGGACACTGATGTGCTCTGCAGGTTGTACAGCTCCCTGCAGGGTCAGCTGAGAAAGCACAAGGTGTCCATGTGCCACAGGAGTCTGTGGGAGGAGAGGGAACACGAGGAGGCTGTGCTTGAGAGCAGGAAATGCCCCTGTTATCAGCAGGTAACAGTAGCTTATCAAGAGGTGCAAAAAGAAGGAAACAATCATCAAAATAATGGATGAAGGGAAAAAATGGAGGAGGGAAAATTAAATGGACAAGAGAGACAGCAGAGAACAGGTAAGTTGTATTCTAAGAGGAAAAAAGGAATGAAAAAAATGGGGAAATTAAGTCTTCAGGAAAGAATGCAAGGAACAGCTGAGACAGCAGAGAACAGGTAAGTTATATTCTAAGGGGAAAAAAGGAATGAAAAAATGGGGAAATTAAGTCTTCAGGAAAGAATGCAAGGAACAAGAAAAATAAGCTAATCCTGCCTTTTTAACCAGAACCTTTTCACACACACACTTGCCAAATCTGCTGCCCAGCAGTGAATACCTGCTGGGACCATTCACTTCTGCTCCAGAACATGCTTCTTTTTTTACAGTGATGTTTTTATCACTGTGAGTGGTTAATTAATCTCCTAGAAATAGGCAGTAGGATGTATTTTGTGGACTGATACTACCATGTGGAAATCATTTTCCCTATTAGGTTTCAGGTAGTCAGGTTTGGTCTCCTGTACCAGTGGTAAAATACTTTATCATGGAAACCCTGCATGCCTTTGCTTTGTCTGATTTATACCAAGTCTCCTTTTGGCATCATTTTATATGGTGTCTTTGTCTCATTTTCATTGAAGTCCCTGCCATTTAAACAGTATTGTTTTGGAATTTCAGCCAAGTGGAATATTGGAGTGCAAGTGATGGTGCCTTGACTTCATCAAGTGCTGAGAGTATCTTCCTTTTTTTTAATGCTTTATTTGTCCTTTTGACTGTCCTTGTTCAGAATTTGGACTGGGGGGGGGGTGTTTAGAGGAAGCAGTGCAATGAAATCATGCTGTATTCACATTTCCTTTGTCCCCTGTGCAGCAGACTGGATAGTCACTGTTCCTGCATCCCACCTCAGAGCACTAATGAGCGTCATCAGAGCAGAGTTCCTGAGCATTCAGAACAAGCAAAATGAAAACAATTTACTGAGGCAGCTCTTGGCTGTGCCCATTCTGTTTTCTGGATGATGAGAGTGGTTTCTGAAGGTCTTGGTTATTGCCAGGATGAGCGTGCTTGGGATGAGTCCATGCTCTGAGCCAGTGTGACTGACCTCATGTTGCTTCCAGAGTTTGGCAGAGCACATGCAAACCTTGCTCAGTGTTTTGTGTTTGTGTGGGAAGGGTTTGGGAGTGAGTGGGCTACAAGAGCAGCTTGGGGGGCACCTGGCCAAGGTATCACAGGCTGTGATGGTCCCTGCTGGCCACGGTTGGTGTGATTTGTACTGCAGAGGCTCAGAAAGACCACGTGCCTATCACTGCTCAGAGGTGCTGAGCAGGCAAACACCACCTAAGTCAGTTTGCCAGGGCTTTCCCTTCCAGAAGGGACACAGTGCAAACCCCTCCTTGCCCTTACACAAGAGTGGAATGAGTATATCCAAGTGCTGACTGAAGAAATGCTTTCAGTTGTTGGTTCTGAACATTTAGAATGTAAATCTAGAATAAAGAATAGTATGATAATAGAGATGATAATATTTTTGCATTCTGATTGTAAGAAGCATTAAAGGTTAGTGACACTAAAGGGTATTAAAGAAACATTAAAGTGGGAAAGTCAGGACTGAGAGGTGACCCCTCAGAATTTGCAGTGCCCGGTGTAGAGCTCATACTGCTCTTTGTACCTGGTAAAAACTTTGTACTGGTCTCGTGTGTGCTGTTGAGTGGAGAGAGAAGCAAAGACACTCTGGGGAGAGGGGGAGGCTGCTCTGTTCTAGTGGTAAAGACTGAAGTGATCAGTGGGAGAGGAACCAGAGGCTGAGAGATGCAGAGGTTCCTTTCTGCCGTGCAGTTGTACAAGGATGGCACCACTATGCTTGTGTCACTGTCTCAAGCTCTGAGGCATCCCTCTTGGTGGAGTTTGGGGGTGAGCAGTGCCTTGAGAAGCTGTTCAGTTCAGGTGTGCCCTGTGCTCTCTTCCAGGTCACTCTGACATGTCTTTTGAGGAACTCCTGCAGGTGCAGAGTGATACCAGAACAAAAGTGAGCAGGAAGGTGCCTGGTGGGAAGAAAACTGCAAAGCCTACCAAAGCTACACTGAAGCAACAAGGCAAAAAGGGGTAAAGAGGCTCTTTTGTGATCAGAAAAACGTGTATGTGTGCTCTCTGCATTCCAGAAATTACACTGGGAGCTCCTCACAGCAGTGATGTTGCCTTGGAGCTGGCATAGATCTCCTTTAATGTACTGGACAATAATGCCTGTCACTATTTCTTCATTAGGGAATGGTCTGGTGCTGTTTTGAGAGCTCTTAATAGCCTGTTCTCTTCAAATCCCCAGCAGGCACCTGTCACTTGACAGTTAAATTGGCACTCAATGCCTTTATACCCTCTGTATTAAGGCACTTGTAACCCTTGGCATGGTGTGCCTCTCAGGCTCTGACAGTGTCCACTGTGACCTGAATAGCTGCCCTGCTGGTTCCTAAACCCCTTCCAGCTTATCAGTATCTTCTGCCTGGCTCTCACTGGCTGGAGTTACAGTCACAGACAATTGTTCTGGAATTCCATTCATCCTTCTGTTGCTGTTTCATCTGTGGCTTGTCTGTGCTCGTTTTCCTTTTTCCCCTCTCTACAGCACTTGCCATCACAGACTTTTTCCCATACCCAACAAAACAAAAGCTATCGTACCTTTTTACAGTTCTCCACAGGCTTCCACTGGTAACAGCAATACCCTTACCCCTTATTTGCAGTAATTAGTAGTTTTCAGTCCTCAGAGTGGCACCCAAGTGATTTGAATGGGTTTCCTCTGTTACACTGACACTCCCTATCTTATTTCTGAATCTGTGCTCAATGCACAAGCAGAGAACACAAAATACATTTCTCCTGCACAAAGCAGAGAACACAAAATACATTTCTCCTGGCATAAAGAGTTGGTTAGGATAATGTTTCTGCTTGACTTTTTACCCAAGACTCTGGGGGATTTTGTGTAGTGCTGCAACATCTCTCAGTGTCTCTATTTCTGCCACACAGTTTGCATAATTCTGCTTTTGTTTAATTCCTCTAATCCTTTAAGTAATGTATTGCTGTAAATCCCACATGCTTTTTCTCTCGTGTTTTTGTTGTGGAAGTGAGCTTCTTAAAGAAAGAAAGGCTTCAGGAAAATCCCCTGGCACTGAGCTGGCTTCAGCAATGACTCCAGTGCATTGTGCAGGGTTGTAGCCTCAGTGGATGTGAGATTACACTGAGCACTGCCCTGAGAGGGATTTGGAAAACTTGTGCCTGTGGGGTTGTGGCTGGCTGGGGGTGCTCTCAGCAGCTGCTACTGCTCAGCTCCTCTCTATCACCTGTGAAAGGGCATGGAGAGCAGGTGAGGTCTGGAGGGAAGCCAGTCTTTAAAGAGGGCAGGAAGGGAGGACTTTGGAAACCACAGACCAGTCCTGGAAAGGTGATAGAGCACTTAATTCTGGAGGCCATCTCTAAGCATGTGGAAGAAAAGAAGGTTTTTGGGAGTGGTCTGTATGGATTCACCAAGGGGAAATCATGCCTGACCAATCTGGTAATCTGGCTGGGTGGATGAGGAGAGAGCCACCCTTCACAAGACTTTTCACTTCAGCAAGACTTTTGACACTGACTCCCTTAACATCCTCTTAGGCAGGCTCAGGAAGTGTGGATTAGATGAATGCTAGTGAGGTGGGTTGAGAACTGGCTGAATGGCAGAGCTCAGAGCTCATCATCAGTGGCACAGGGTCCAGTTGGAGGCCTGTCACTGGTGGTGTCCCTGGGGTCAGTACTGGCTCCAGTGTTGTTCAACTCTTTCATCAGTGACCTGGGTGAAGGGGTCAGGTGTCCCTCAGCAAGTCTGCTGACAGCATAAAGCTGGGAGGAGTAGCTGGTCCACAGAGGGCTGTGATGGCATTCCATGAGATCTGGACAGGCTGGGCAGCAAAGAACCTCCTGGAATTCAGCAATGGCAAGTGCAGACTCCTGCAGCTGGGGAGGAACAACCCCAGGCAGCAGCACAGGCTGGGGTGAGCTGCTGGGCAGCAGCTCTGCAGAGAAGGGCCTGGGGATGCTGCTGGACAAGGAGCTGTCCATGGGCCAGCCATGTCCTGGGGGACAACAAGGCCAACAGGATCCTGGGCTGCATTAGGAGCTGCAGTGCCTGCAGGTCAGGGAGGTGATCCTGCCCCTCTGCTCAGCCCTGGTGAGGCCACTCTGGAGTGCTGTGCCCAGTTCTGGGATCCTCAGGATGAGAGAGACTGGAGCTCCTGGAGAGGGTGGATCCAGTAGAGGGGGAAAAAAAAAAAAAAGAAAAAAAAAAAGATTAGGGGGCTGGAGCATCTCTCCAATGGCAACAGGTTGAGGTAGCTGGGACTGTTTAGCCTGGAGAAGAGACAACTGAGAGGGGACCTTATCACTGGAAATATGTAAAGGGAAGGTGTCAAGAGGATGGGGCCAGGCTCTTTTCAGTGGCACCCAGTGACACAACAAGGGGCAATACTGAAACACAGGGAGTTTCACCTGAATATGAGGAGAAACATCTTCACTGTGAGGGTGACTGAGCACTGGAACAAGCTGATCAGTGAGGTTGTGGAGTCTTCTTCTCTGGAGATGTTTAAAACCCACCTGTATGCAATCCTGTGAAATCTGCTCTAGGTAACTCTGCTTTAGGAAAGGTTCCTTCTACCCCCAGCCATTCTGTGACTTCATGAGAGGAATAATCAGTACAACACATTTATTAATGCAGGTGGTGGGTTTTCACTTGATAGAGTGGAGCTGTTCCAGGTTCTTTCCAGGGTTGTTTTAACTACATATTGATATATTTGGTTGTTGTAGCCTTCTGTGGCTTTTGACTGAGCCACCCCTTTGCTTTCTCTATCATGGTAAGGACTGAGCTGGGAGAATCTGTTGTGCAGTAATGTTCTTCTGAGGGTCCAAATGACCTCCCAGCATATTAGCCTGGGCCTCATTCTGACATTTGCTCCTCTTAAAGACATTTTTCTTGTTTTCAGGCCATTGGAGATGTCAGCCAAGAAGCCTGTACCTTTCCTGCGACAAGTTGTCCCTGTTAGGAAGAAGGTGAGTGCTGCCCCTCCCCAGCTCAGGACTTGCCTTAGTGCTGCTGGCAGGGCACACACTTGGGAATGGGGCTGCTGCAGGTGGCACAGGCTACTTCTAGAGGACAGGGCTGGACCACTGGGGAGTGCAGACAGTGACAGTGTTTCCCTGGGGAGAACAACGGGTGGGCTGGAGCAGCTGCAGGTTAACTTGAGAGTTTGTGACACAGATATTTCTAGAAGGTGCAGTGATAGCCACTAATGACAGTTCCACTGCAAACCATGGTCATTGTTCAGTACTAATCCCAGAAGTTCAGATGTCCATCTACTTTCCAATGTGAATGTAACTTTTGACTTATCATTGCTGGATCATCAGAATATGGTAATTTCCACAGTTAGAGACCTCTTTTTGTCCTGCCCTTTTTCACAGTTAATCTGTGAAAATCTAGATAGGTTTGGTTCCTAAATCCATCACCTTGACAAAACATATTCAGCCAGCTCTTGGTCTGGGAGTTGCAGGTGTTTGACAGCAGCACTCCTGCTGTTATTCTTGGATACTCCTGGGTGGCAGACTCACATATGGAGATGTCTGTGCATGACAAACTTGATGCAGGCATGACTTTGGGGATGCCACCTTGACCATCGTACTCGATCTTTACCAACTGCAGATATTTCAGTGGTGGGAGCATAACATTGCTGGGGAAAAAAATTGGCTGTTCCATGAAGGGAGAGTAACAGGGTAACACTGGCTACAGCTCTTGCCTTCCCTGCTGACAGGTCCAGAGAGACCCTCGATTTGATGACCTTTCTGGAGAGTATAAGCCTGAAATATTTATGAAGACGTACAGCTTCCTGGACAGCATCAAGAAGCAGGAGAAGGAGGTGATGCTCTGGGCCTGTCCTTGCCTGGAAGAACCTTGCTTGGCAGGGGCTGCTTTTTCAAAGGCTTTTTGCAGTGGAGGGGACAGGCAGGCAGTCATGCAGCTTTCTGCTCTCTTCTTCAGATGGTTCAGAAGCAGCTGAAGAAATGCCGGAACGTGGAACAGAAGGAGAAACTGCAGCGGCTCCTGAACCGTATGGTGAGTTCAGTGCAGCATCTCCTCTCTGGGAGGCACTGGGAGAGAGGATGTGTCACCTGAGGTCTGCCTCCATGCTGACACAGGCCATCCTTTTTGTACAGACACAGCAGGAACAGGCACAGAAGAAACAGCAGAAGTTGAGAGAGAGGGAGCTGTCTTTGAAAAGACAACAGAGGGAATTGGCCAAGCAGGGAAAGAAACCCTTCTTCCTAAAGAAATGTAAGTACTGTGAGCATGCTGCAGGAAGATCTTGAGGGAGTACTGGAGGCAGGAATTCAAGCACTGGGAGGAAGGTGTCCATACTATTCCACACAGCAGTGGGGGAATTGTTCTAGTGCTGGTACTCAAGGGAGAAGTTAAGCCTGGACCAGGGAGGGAGAGGTGAGAAGGGGCTGCTCTGTAGAGATGTTTTGGGCTTCAGTTTAAGACTTAACTTCCCTTTCCTCTGCAGCTGAGAAACGGAAATTGGAACTAGCTGAGAAGTATGCAGAGCTGAAGAGGAGTGGAAAGCTGGAGAGCTTCCTGAACAAGAAGAGGAAGAGGAATGCCATCAAAGACAAGCGCCATCTGCCCTCACAGAAGAACTTGTGACTGTTGGACAGTCATGCTGTTGTCTGGCACTGGCTCATTCTGCCTTGGCCAGGCCTGGAGGATGGTTATCCCTCTTCCCAGGATCTGCCTTCCACTGCACAGTGATGCTCTAAGGCAGCAGAGTAGGGGCTGAACTGAAGGAACTAAAGGTTTTTTGTAGCTGAAGTATCTGCTTTGCTTGTGGTTTAGATCATGCCTGGGTGGTGACAAGTGTGTCATGCAGATGCTGATGGTGATGACAGCTGTCTTTGCCCTTGCACCTGCTCATTTCTAACTCCAGCAAGGAAAGCGTGAGTCCTGCCCTACACTGCTGGCTCTACTCCAGGTTCTTTCAGACTTCCACTGAGGCAGCAAAGGATGTGGGACAATCCCTGCTCAGAGCAGCAACCCTGACTTCAGATCAGGTTGCTCAGAGCTGCTTTGGTGGGAGCTGGTAATGTCCAAGGACAGCTGCCTTCACCTCTCTTGGCCTCTGCTCTACTGCTTCAGGTTCTCAAGATGGAACTTTTTGTTCCCTCATCCAGGAAACCTGCCTGGTGTTAGTCCACAATCATTGTCTTGTTCTCAGTGAGGTGCCTGGCTCTGTCTTCTCAGCAGCTTTGTCACAGGTCTGAGGGGTGGGTGGGACAGGGGTGCTGTGAGGTCTCCCCAAAGTCTTTTCTTCTTAAGGGTGAATAAATCCTGTTTCCTCAGCCTTTCCTAGCAGTGCTCCAGTCTCTGACACCTTTCACACACTCAGCTGGAGTCAGCCCAGACAGCCAACAGCTGTCTTTTGGTGGCCCAGCATGGATCAGTATCTGAAGTAGTCTCACAAGAGATGAGGAAAGGTGAGAGGATCACTCCACGTGGGCTGTTCCTGGTGATGCAGATCTAGGTGAGCTGGCCTTCCTCATACATGGGGCATGCTGTGACTGCTTGGGATCTCTCCTTCAGAGCAGCTTGGTTTCTCAGGGTCATCTCCACAGGGTTATTAGTGCTTCTAGGAAACTGATCCTCTATGAAATAAAGTACCTGTTTTCCTTTATTTCCTTTATTCCTAAGGTCAGTCAGTGCCTCTCTCCAATATCCCACCAGCCCTCTTGTTTCTCCTTGTTCCTTTTTTCCCCTGTCTGCCATGGCTGTGGTGACAAGGGGATGGCTCAGATCACCCCAGTGTGACAGGACAGTGTGCTGGGAGAGTGCCTGAGCACAGCTGGGCTGTGTGGGTGGCCATAGCTGTTTGGGGCCTGGGGACAGGCCTTGCTGGGAGCAAAACACGGAGCAAGGAGCAGGTCAGCCAGCCTGAGGGTGTTGCTGAACCACTTACCTCCACTGTAGTTCCTGTGGGTGATGCAAGTTCTGCTCTGGTGAGAGGACTTAGTGGAACTGGGGGAGGGCAGTAGACATGGCATGTGCCAGCTTGGCTGGAGACCTGCTGCCAGGGCCTCGCTGAGGGGTCACATGGCACTCCTCAGCATTCCTGAGCCCCTGTGTCCCCATCCCCTGCTGCTTGTAGGTCTGGTGCACCCCCAAAGTGGTCCTGCTTTCCCCTCCTGCCCCTCTGGAACTAAAGGTCTTTTTCCTGCTGTGGCCTGTGCCTGCCTGCAAGGAGGACATCCTCGCTGGGATGTCACTGCCTTCTGCTGAGCAGTGGTGGTGCCTGCCAGCGCCTGGGCCCAGCAGGGGAAGCCCTGGGGCATTTCCCAGCTCAGCCAGGACTGAGGTGCCACGCAGGGTATTGAGCAGGAGGCAGCATCACAGCACCAGCTCCAAGGGAAGCAGATGCTTCCAGCATCTCCAGAGCTTCCTACTGCTGGGGAGCTGCTCTTTCCAGTAGCCTCCCAGCCTCAAGCAGTTGGCTTATTTTCCTTGTTTTCAAGGTAATTTGGGTAGATGTGCACTGGTGTCCCTCCAGCTGGAGTGTGAGGACTTGCTGTGGGTGTCCCTGGGCATGGCTGGTCCCAGTTGCTGTGACTGCACTGGTTGCACAGGCGGTGGTGGCTGACAACACTGCCACATGCCCTGTCAGTGACACCCTCAGAGCCCACCAGATGCTCACAGGACCTGTGGGCCAGGAGGAATGGCTCCAGAGCCAGTGGCCTGGGATGCTGTCCCCAGCCCTAGGGGATCACTGAGTGAGCCTCTCCACACGCTCTGCAGCTGAACAGACACCCAGTCACACGAGGCCCCCAGAAGAGTGGGGGGGATCTGCCTGCTGGCAGGGACACAGACGTGAAAAGGCTGCAGGGCTCAGGTCTTTTATTGCAAAGAGGGAGATACAAAAAAAGGACAGTCACCCCTTTTTGGGTCCCCCCAAGCCTGCAGCTGGCTGAGAGGGGTGACAACAGGGGGAGGCCCAGGCCTTGCTCCCCCTGCATGGGGACTGGGCTCACACAGTGGGGAGCAGGCTGCTGCCAAGGACCACACTGGAGCCAGGGCCAACCACAACAGAAAAGTGTGTGACCTGCCGTGTCCCGTGTCACCCTGGCTGGCCAGAGAGCAGTGCTGCACAGGGAGCACTGGTAGGGAGCCTTGCACCGGGTAGGGCTGCCTGGCCCACCCAGACACAACTCACGGCAGGCGGCCCTGGCCTCGTCCCCTGCTCCTCTGTCTTACCAGGTGGGGTGCTGAGGTTCCAAACTGCTCTGCAGCCTTACAGAGGCTGCTGTGGGGGCCCTCGCCATGCGCCCCTCGGGGCCCTGAGCAGCTTCACCCAGGGAAGGAGGGAGCAGGCTCGTTGCCCTCTGTCCAGGCAGGGAGCTCCACAGCCTGCCCCGGGTTTGTAGGTACGGCCGGGCACGGGGATGCCCGGGCTGCAGCTCCTGCTGGCTCGTCACGTGTTGTCCTGGGCCAGCTCCTCGGGGCAGGCAGGCTGCTCCCGGGCCTTGCGCAGCCCCGCGGGCGGCTGGGCCGGGGTGCCGTGCTGCGGGTCCGGCCCCGGCGGGGCGTGGTGCTGGTGCCGCTGGTACTGCACAAACATGCAGACCTTCATGCCAATGGCCAGCATGTTCTTGCCCATGAAGATGCTGGAGACGCGGGCATCCCTGAAGAAGACCATGTTGCTGCCTCGGATGAAGATGGTGGCGATGTTGACGGTGAGCATGCTCAGCATGGGGTACAGCATCATGCGGTGCGGCACGATGCCGATGCCCTGCATGCTGATCTCGCACAGGGACACGCACGGCAGCACCAGCAGCAGGATGTAGCAGTAGAAGAACATGATGCCCTCAGCCCAGAGCGGCAGCCCTTTCTTCTGAGGCTCCCACAGGTTGGCCTGGATGTCCAGCACGTCCAGCATGTCCACAATGACCCAGAAAAGGCGGTTACGGAGATCTTCCTTCTTCTTGAATGTTCTGACATACTCCATGTGCTCTGTGGCCACCAGCAACACGTAGAGAGCTGGGATGCAGATGGAGAGCAGCAAGGTCAGCGCTTTGCGGGCGATGAGATCCAAGCTTTTCCGGTCAGCTTTATAATTCTGGTACACAAAGTAGACTTTGATCTCCAGAACGAAGACGTACAGGAACCAGAGGATCATGGCGTATCCTCGCTTAGCTGTCTTTACCTCTGCCCCAACCCAGATGGCCACATAGCGGAGGACCAGCAGGAAGCATATGTCACCCACCGCCACCATGACACAGATGCCCAGCTTCCTGGAGCCCTGGCTCTGCTCCACCAGGTAGGCATCCATGAGGACGAGGCTGGTCATGATGAGCACTGTGGAGAGGCACACATGGGGCTTGCTGACAGGTGGTGGGGGAACCATCCTGCACAGAGGAACAGGCAGGGTCATCAGGAAGCTGCTGAGATTTCCTATTCCCACCCTCGGGCCCCCCTCTGCCACCCTCTCCTCAACAGCTGTGGATGGCTGAAAGAAGGGAGGGAGCCATTCATAGATTTCTCCCATCCTACGTGCCTGGCTTGTTCCAAACCTGTGATTGCTAGCCAAAGAGCTCCTCAGATTGACCAGGCAATCCTGGTGGCATGTGCTGGCTGAAACCCAGCTCCTAGGAAGCACATGGTGGGGCAGGCTGGATGCTTGGGACACTTCAAGCACTTGGGATCCCACTGCCTTTTCTGGTAGCTCATCACACTGACTACCCTCTGCCACCAGGAAGGATACATGCCTTATTTTCCATGGGATTTCCCAGCCAGTGGTACTGCTTATACTTTCCCTCTACAAGACTAGACCTATGTGTTTAACCCAAGCAGGCCCTTAAATGCTCTGATCCAGGACCGCTCTTTTTAGTCTTTTTATTTTCATGCACAGCACAAGATGAAGCCTGGCTTTTTTTAGCCTGGCTGTCTTGTGGGGTAGGAGGGAAAAAATTGGCCCGATATTCAGTTTCCTTCAGGTTCACACCCCCCCAAGAGCTTTGCCTAGAGCTATTTGCCAATGCCCACCCTGCCCCAACACCATAAACCGAAAGCAAGGAAAAGCAGCACGAGCCCAAAGCTCCAGGACACAAGGAGCTCTGCAACAGGCCCTGAATTTCTGTGGGATATTCAGCTTTCCTGGGCTGGGGCAGAGCAAAGCACTGTCCCCAAAAGCAGCCTGCCTGCCTTGTGCAGACTCCCTCCCCCTGACCAAGCACAGCTGCGGGCAGCTGCCTTCAGAGGCAAGGAGGGAGGACAGAGCCGGGGCCTCACCAGGCAGAACTTGGCAGCTGCTCTGGAGGGGAGCCAGCCCCCCGGATGAAATGGAGGAGGAAGCCGGGCTGATGACTGCGTGGCACGGCGCTGCACGAGGGCTGCCCACGCGGAGCCCGCCTCTGCCACGCCTGGGCTGCGCACCATCCTGCTCATCCGAGGGGCAGCGTGCAGGCGGCACCGGGGCACGGAGCGAGCGCTGGGCAGCGGGATGGAGGCCGCACGGCTAATGGTCACCCCTGCACACGGCTGCTCCTGCTGCTGACACTGATGGCACAGGGCCCTGGGCACAAGCTACCTGAACTCCTGCTTTTTGGCTGAGGGAGCAGGCGTCCGGCGCGGTCGTGCATCCCTGGGCCCAGCAGCATCCTGGCACGTTGCGGGAGGCAGCGAAGCCTGAACCTGTCAGACACAGGTGCCTCTCAGGGGGAGCCATCAGGGGCCGGCGGGCATGGGGGGGAGCCCGTGGATGTGGCACAGCTGGAGCATGCCACACGGCCGGGGGCTCACCCGCCTGGCGCCTCCACGGCGGCTGGAGGTACCCCAGGCCCCGGCTCGGCACGGACGCCCGTTCCGGGGCCCGAGCGGGGCCGCCCCTCCGAGCTCCGTGCCCTGGGAGCGCCGGGCCCCCGGCCCCGCCCGCCCCGAG